TGCTTGTGCTTCTTACTGATGTGGTGGCTGGGGTTCTGCTACTTTTACTGGGAGGTAATAGTGCAGTACATGACCGGTTCAAGGATGATGTCCGATTTGGAAAGGATGCTGTAGAAAATGGACGCTGAATCAGTTGGTCAGCGTTGGCGGTGGATTAGCTGGATTTCTATATGGCCATTTTCATCCCAAGTCGTATGGGTTCTTAGCACTAGCGTGCGCAGTCAATTTGGTGGGGACAAGGGGTGGCACACTCGGTCTAAATTACTTTTAGATTTGTAAAACCCATGTGTAATGGGATCAACATGACAGTTTTTCGTCACCCCTGCTGCGCACGCTAGTGGTTCTTAGATTTGTTCAGCGAGTAATGTTGTAAGTGCTCTTTGAGTGGCGATTAGGGACTTTTCTTTGACTTTTGTGTTCATCAAAATTATAGGCAGGAGGTTCCACCATAATCAGTTGATCCACATGCATATATGACAAAAGGTCGAAAGGACAAATGGTCGAAATCCCAAGAGTTTTTTTAGAATGAGTGTAATTTAAAGAAGAGTAAATTGTTTTGATATTTTATACATTAAACCACTGCTGACGTATAAAAGAAGGAGGTTTAAGTTAGTAGAAAAGGAAAGAAGACAAGTTTAGATGTGTGCATTAAATTGGCAGTTGAAGAAGAGCACATGTAAATGGATTATAATTGTGCTTAAATAAGGGGGCAAATGAAGGTTGAAAAACAACATAATTTGTACAATAGCTTAAAAAGCCACAAAGGCTTCCATATGAATCCATGAGGAGGGAAATGATATAAAAACGGACCAGGATTGCAATATAAAATCAGTTTTACAAACTATCTCCAAAAGTGAAATATATCTTTCAAACCGTCAATCAACGCGTTATTTCTTAACATCGAACCAGACTCCAGTACCAGTGAACCGTTGCCGTAGCCTAGTGAGTTGTATTCAAGTCAGTGTACCGACGTTGCAAGGTGAACATAAAAAGTTAACCTTTACCGCCCAGGGACCTAAAATTATACGTTGACAAACTAGGTCACTGCGATAACACCCATCTTAATCTACCTAAGAGAGTAATATGAGCTGCATTTGTTCAAATAAAATGTATTGTTTGATTCAAATCCAAACATCTCAACTATGTCTCAATATAGCTTTGAGGTATTTTGAGGAATTAAAGTCTATTTGATTGTAGTTTTGAATAATCGATGACATTTTGCGTTCACTTGCACATTTTTTTAAATGATTCATTCAGAAAATCATGTATAAATGTCATTTTTAGTACTCTAAAAATAATACCATTGATCTAGAAAAGATCGAATTGATCAGTACTGATTGAGGAAAAAATATAAAATTATTCTTTAGAACGATTATTCAAAATATAATACTAAAATCGTGAATTTCATGCAAATTTTATAATAGGGTAATGCATTAATGAAACATATGGACATTAAAAAATGTGTGTTTGGTGAAAAAGTCTACCTTTTTTAAGTATTATAAGAAACTAGAAAGGTAGACTTGAAGAATTTACTCAAAGTAGGACAACGGAAAATGTCTTGGTATCCGTTTGTGTGTATGCATAAAATTTAAAATGGCATCCTTAATTTATAAATAATTATTCATTAATAATACATAGCTTTGCAAATAGCAAATAGCTTTTGAACCCAGATTAAAAGCGCAACTTTTTAAATAAGAATGGTTTGTTCTCACTGTTACTATTTTTTATTATCTCCAGAGCTGACGTCGACAGTTGGGCTCTTGCTACAACTTACATTAATACAACCAGAGTTTAAAGACCTAACTTCCCTATCCACTGCTAGTAGTCAATAGTCCATTTCAAGACTTCAGATAGTTCGAGCTGTCGAACGGCATTGTGAAGTGAAAATACAATTTTCCTTTTACATGTTATCCTGAGGCATCTGCTGGTTCCAGAATAAGCTCCCCAATGGCATTGTTTTGTGCACAGGTTCCCCCCGGGGTATTCAAGTGACTCTGGAAAGGCCAATGTAGTCAGTCAATTAAGTCTATAGAAAGCATATTCATGAAAATTCACGAAGAAAGAGCTGTCGCACGGCATGTTTGTGAGTAAAAACGCAATTGTCCTCTGCTACAGGTTCCCCCGGGGGTGTCCTAGTGGTTCCGACAGCAGCCAATGTGGTCAGTGTTCCACTTTAAGTCTATAGAAAGCATATTCATGAAAATCCATGAAGAAAGAGCTGTCGCACGGCATGTTTTTTTGAGTAAAAACACCATTTTCCTCTGCTACAGGCTCCCCCGGGGGTGTCCGAGTGGTTCCGACAGCAGCCAATGTAATCAGTGTTCCATTTTAAGTCTATAGATAGCATATTCATAAAAATCCATGAAGAAAGAGCTGTCGCACGGCATGTTTTTGAGTAAAAATGCAATTGTCCCCTGCCACAGGTTCCCCCAGGGGCATACCGGAGGTCCCAAGAGCGGCCAATGTGGTCACTAATCCATTTAAAGTCTATCAAAAGCCTATTCATGAAAAAGCTTGCAGAGAAAGCTGTCGCACGGCATATATTGGTGTAAAAACGCAATTGACCCCTGCTACAGGATCCCTCGGGGGTGTCCCGTGATTCCAAGAGCGGCCAATGTGGTAAATAATTCATTTGAATCCTGATGAATGTGGGCGTCTTAGTGGAATACCTGTATAATGAGAGAGAGAAGGATTAGTATTTTCCATTTAATTCCACTACTTTATTTGCTTATCCTTGACAGATACGCGTATTTCGTCTACAATGTGCAGACTTCTTCAGTGTCCTGTACTAATACTCGACAGTCGAGTATTAGTACAGGACACTGAAGAAGTCTGCACATTGTAGACGAAATACGCGTATCTGTCAAGGATAAGCAAATAAAGTAGTGGAATTAAATGGAAAATACTAATCCTTCTCTCTCTCATTATAATTCATTTGAAGTTTATGAAAAGCCTATTCATGAAAAACCATGAATAATGAGCTGTCGCACGGCATATTTTGGTTTAAAAATGCAATTGTCCCCTGCTCCAGGTTCCACCGGGGGCATTCCGGAAGTTCCGAGTGTGGCCAATGTGGTCAATTATGCATTTAAAGTTTATCGAAAGTCTATTGACGAGAAACCATGATGAAAGAGCTGTCGCACGGCATGTTTTGAGTGATTAAATGATCTGCCCGCATTCAGGACCCTTCACCAGAACCGATTACATGAAAATGGCCATATCTCGGTTGATTATAGGACGGGACGATTTTAGCTCTTCGCTATATCTATTTTTTTACCAGCATCACTTATAAAATCTCATCAAGAATTTATCAAGTCAGATAAGCTCTCCGGAAACCCGGTATATCTCCGATATCCGGTGACCAGGATTATTTTCGTGGCTACACCGTAAAACAATATTATTTAGTTTTCCAGTCAAATGCTCTTGGAAGATTTAAAATCGGATCATATTTGATGAAGTTACAACACTCTAAAGTTGACCAAAAATTTGCCTATCCTAGTTATTTTGAGTAACCCCTGTATGTGTGCGTGTGCGTGTGTGTGTAACGAAGAATTTATTAAGACATTTTTATTGGCCAACACTCAACCGAATTGGACGCAACAGCCACCAAATGAAAGATATTATGGTCACATAGAGCTTTTTTTTTGGAATCGGTCAATCGGTTCCAGAAATATGGTCGGAACGGTTTATATGGAGCATGAGGCTAATTCCGACCTCAAACGAATAAAACTCATCATGTGACACCTCAAATCACATTAGAATTCAAAAGCTAGTTCAATGGTAGTAATTTGGAGAGCTCAGTGCCACATTGGCTAAACCTAGCTGCCTGGAGAAGTGGCCAATATGGACTAAATTAGCGCTAGCAAAAATTGGTACAACCATGATACATTTTTGGATAGGTCCATTACCCTACTTCGTTTATCTCAGTTGTTTGAAGATGTATAGCTTTTATGTCTTCGTTAACTTTTCATTTAGCGAAATAAAAAAACTTGGTATCATTGCGCCACCTTTGTGGCGAAAACTTGAACTATTTTTATCAAGCAAATTGTAGCCCTAATTATTCCAAAAAAACTTTACTGAAGACTTCAACTCAAGTGGATGTAGTCCCAGAGCGTTATTATTTTTTTCCTGTTAGATTTAATTCTTGGCCCACTGTGCACTGGAGATAAGCTTTCCAAGCTTGCTAAGCTTCTGGGATATTTAAGCTTTCCAAGCATCTGGGAAAAACTTTCCAAGCATCTGAGAAAAGCTTTCCAAGCTTCTGGAAAAAGCTTTCCAAGCTTGTGGGAGAAGGTTTCCAAGCTTCTGGGCCTGGAGAGAAGCTTTCCAAGCTTTCTAAGCTTCTGGGATAAGCTTTCCAAGTATCTGGGAAAATCTTTCCAAGCTTCTGGGAGAAGCTTACCAAACTTCTGGGAGAAGCTTACACAGCTTCTGGGAGAAGCATACCAAGCTTCTGGGAGAAGCTTACCAAGTTTCTGGAATTGGAGAGAAGCTTTCCAAGCTTTCTAAGCTTCTGGGATAAGTTTTCCAAGCTTCTGGAAGAAGCTTACCAACCTTCTGGGAGCAGCTTACCAAGTTTCTGGGAGAAGCTTTCCAAGCTAATGGAAAATCTTTTCCAAGATTCTGGGAATAGTTTTCCAAGCTTCTGGTAAAAGCATTCCAAGCTTCTGGGAGAAGCTTTCCAAGCTTCTGGGAGACGCTTTTCAAGCTTCCCATACAAACTTTTCAAGCTATATTGTGCTCTAGATTTGATCATAGGAATTAATTCCATCAGCTTCTCCCAAGCTCATCGCAACAAATCTACCGAAATATGAGGAACCTTTTTTATCAAAAACTTTTTACTATGAATTCGATTAAGTCATGCCGTCCTTTGTTCCAGCTTTTTTTTTCAAAAACACATTTTTGCATCTCAAAACAACGGAAATCGTTTTGAACGGGAAAGGGTTAACATCAACACTTTCCACGCAGTACTAAGTATTTCTTTTTTCTTTCATTTTCAGAATCTCTAAACGTCCAGATTAGGCGGTAGCACCAGGGCTAATAGACGCAGCTCCCTCTCGTTCCACTCTTCAAATTACCCACTCGACGAAGAAGACGACGCCGCCGCTTTAGCCGGCCACGAAAGCGAAAGTGTTCAGCACGCAATGCCGATATTGCCAATGTTGCCCCGTATAGAAGAACCGTGTAAGCTTCTCGATTGAAGATAAGTGAATTGCGTGTGTGCCGGGTGTCTGTGTGTGTCTGTGAGTGTCGGTGTCGATTTCGGTTCGTTTTTCTCCGGAAAAGAAATAGAGATGCCAACGGAAATTGGTTCGACTCGGTGCGGTAGAAAATAAAATCCAATCGAGGTAGGGCGAAAGTGAAAATTTCCTCCGAAAGAGAGGCGGCCGCGGGTGAAAGATCCGATACTTTGCGCTTTGAAACAACAACGCAGTTGTTGAGTGTTTTAATTAAATACACGCATGCACGTATGCGAAACAAAGAGAGAAGAAGAAAAGTAGATTGTGGAGAGCGAAAAGAGCGCGAGTTGTGCTATACGACGAGTCACTAGAGTCAAAAAGTGCACCACATGGGCGAATGTTTATCCGTTCCATCATCAAGTGAAGATAATCTTGCAGCAAAGATTAGGGCCAATTGAACGGGAGATTGTGCGCGCATTCGTGATACAGTGTTGGTTTAGTTGGATGTGATTTTTCTCCGAGCTGATTGCCACTTAACGACGATCGCCGGTCATCGCCGGGATATGAGCTGTGTGTCTTCTTAATGCCTGCCGGCGGCACATTTGCGGACGGGAAAAACAAAAGAGCCATACTTGAGAGTAATCAACTCGACTGATTCGATTAGGAGCGGGCAGCTGTGTGTGCTCTCTCTATCTAGGTTCCCTGTTGGACGAACGCCTTCACTCCCGGAGGAAGGGCGTTTCGGGCAGGAAGTTTTGACAAAAAAGGTTCATTACCTTGCGTTTGGTTTGGAGCGCGAGGAGTCGCGGGCGGATTTTTTCGTGGGCGAAATTCTATCAACAAAAGGCCGCCAACCTGGAACTAATGGAATTAGAGAATATCGTGGCCAACACGGTCTACCTGAAGGCGCGAGAAGGTAAGTGGAGTGGGGTTAGCTCTAAGAGAAAAGGTGGGGGATGTGTAAGCAATGCTCAACTTCGAAAATTATTATTGTTTTATTATAATTATTGTACTAATAAAAGTTGGTCAAAAATTGGGTTAATTTAGAATGTTGTTGCACAATTTATCTTATCATAGGAGAAATACTATGGTTGTTTTTCTAAGCTAGTTTTAATTTTTAATAGTTGATTGAATAGTGATAAGCTCTAGGTTTGGCATTGGAATGGATCAATATTTCATATAGGTGAAATGGCCTATGGATCTAAGATCGCTAGAAATCTGTTATTTATCAAGTTTATCTAGATAAACACGTCATTGGAACGGTACTAATGTCTATTTTTTGTCGCTATTGAAAATTTAGTCGATTGCTGAATTTATGTATGGGTCCAAATTAGGGGTATTTAGGCCGACATTACATCCATTTCCCCTACAAGCTATAATTAGAACGTTAAAATTCTTGACTGTTCAAGCTGATTCCGATAGTGCCGCACTATACCTTGCACAACACGGTGAATGAAGGAGCTTAGAAAGAACAATCAAACACATTCTGTTACTCACGTAGAGGTGACTTACACCGCTTGCCTGCGATAACTTTCTCGGAGAGCCGACAAGCACTCGATTAAAACGATACATGCGCACTGGAGTGAATGAGAAGCGAAGGCAGTGCTTTTCCTTGCATTTCAAATATTAATTAATCCGTCATTAACTCCTCGCAGTAGATTACATTTCTTTTCGAGATGATTTTTTTTTTATCGAAAATCAGCATAAAATGTGAACCTGGAAATTTAGTGTTGGTACCTGTAAAAACCTGAACATCTCCGTGAATTTTGTTTGAACTTTTGAGCTGCCACTCTGAAAATGATTCCTGTAGTTTTGCTATTAAAGATATTTTTCGCACAAATAACTTCGAAAATTTGCATTTTTTTCCCCCCTTGATTTGTTTTTTGTCGATCTTGTTTTCCGTGCTGAGTACCAATGCTACCGATGCCAGGGAGGCAGCTCCCCACCCTATCAATCAACTCATGGACCGGGGACCAACGGATGTACTTCCTTTGATCAGAGGTCACGCAGAGATGTTATGCCTCAGAAAATCCCAAAGACGTGGACTGGAATGGACTGTAGTGAGAGGTAGTCACGCTTACCACTACACCACCGGCGGCACTAAATATTTGCCTTTGGTTTGTTTTTTTTTCCGTCGATCTTGTTTTCCGTGCTGAGCACCAATGCTACCGAAGTGCCAGGAAGGCAGCTCCCACACCTGGACCCTACCTATCGACCCATCAACTCATGAACCGGGGACCAACGGCTTTACTTCCCATCCGAAGGAAGGCGTGATCAGAGATGTTATGCCTCAGAACATCCCGGCGGCGCCGACTGGGATTGAACCCAGGCCTGCTGGGGTGGGAGGTAATCACGCTTACCACTACACCACCGGTGCCGTTCACTAAATATTTGCAACATATTTAAAAAAAATGTATATACAGCCATTCCATAGGAAAACGATAGATTGGTTCTCAGTTAGTTAGTTAGTTATATTTATTAAGGAGACTTTCAGCCGAACGCTGGGTCGTGACCGGGAAGGGGGTTCCCCAAGTCACAAAGTTGAAAAATTGAGGAGCGCCTATAGGGGACACTTCTAAAGAGAGGGAGGGTTCCTGAGAGGAGTTTCTTAAAATAGAAAACCTAAGTAATGCTGTCTTTTTATGCTGTTTCATGCTGGGGGGGGGGGGGGGGGGTTTCCTAGGGTGGTTGACAGGGAAAAGTTCAAGTTCGTAGCGATGCTCGTGATTATTGAAGGTGTTCCTGATGGTGTGATAGCGGTGGTTGTTTCTATACGCGGTATGCTGCAGGCGGTGATGACTCTATCGAGTGGAGTTATATCTGGTTGTACAGGCCTGTCTCGCGGAGAAAGGCCAATAGCGCAGGGGAACGACCTGGGTCCTTGCTGAGGGCATTTTTTATGTTGCAAGAGATACCGTATAGGTCTCTGGCTCCTTGGTATAGTGGGCAGTGGCATATCAAGTGCTCCACCGATTGATGGATCTGACATATTGGGCAACGTCGATGGAATTCGCCATTCCCAGCAATGTGCGACATTCGAGTGTGTCCTGGCCTCAGCCTTAACAACACCACTTGAGAACGGTGGTAAGGTAGGTCTTCCCATCGGTGCGTCTCTCCTTTTATCTTACGGATAAAAAGATCTCTTCTGCCTAACCAGTCCTTGCTCCAGTTCTCCCATGTAATTTATAACAGCCAATTTATTAAGTCTGGACCTGGAACTTCGCTTGTCAGTTTGTTCATTAGTCGACCAGAAGAGGCGAGGTGGTCGGCTTCAACGTTGCCCTGGATGCCGCAGTGGCCAGGTATCCAGGCAACGGTGGTGTTGGGTGGAGCGGACTGGATGATGGCCTGGATCCACGGGTGTGTGGGGTACTCGGCGTTGAGGGCGGCTACAACGCTGACTGAATCCGTGAAGAGAACGATGGGTTTATTAGACGGCGTGGTGATGGCGACGTAGGCTGCAGCTGCCTCAGCATAGAAAATATTGCACTGGTCGGGAAGACTGTGACATATACTTATTTCGCGGCCAGATATCCCAATTCCGGTTCTACCTTGTGCGACAGAACCATCGGAATAGTGGATCGTTCCTTTTTTATATCGACGGTGTATAAGGTCCATGTGTGACTGGTTCACGGCGAGAGGGTTAGCACCTGCTGAATTGTCGAATGGATAGAAGCTTTGGGCAGATACCAACCCCTGGCTCCACACCAGTGGACCGTGGACACTGAGGGGAGCGCCTGGTTGGCTGTGCTGGCGAGGAGCTGGATTGCCTCCTCTAGGAGGAACACTCCGTCGCTCAAACCAGTAGTTTTTTTTTCAGAAACCTGACGGCTCGGCGGCAGATGGTGAGTGTGATGAGACGGTCGAATGGGAGGACATCTCCTTCGACGCATGCTGCTAAACCTGATGTCGACGGGAGAAGGCCAGAGGTGATTTGGATTGCTCTTTGATATACAGGAGTGAGTTTCTCGATGAGGGCTGTTCTGGACATACAGGTTAGTTCATTCCCGTAGGTGAGTCGTGTGTCGATGACGGCTTTGGAAATCCGGATCCGGAGGAGTCGATTGCTGTCTAGGTGGCGTCTGGCGATCGAATGAGGTTTAACCTCGACCGACATTTAGATCTCACTTCATCGAAATGGGGTACGAATGAGAGGCTGCGGTCAATACGAACTCCCAGAATCTTAACAGATTTGTGTTGCGGTACGGCCTGAGATCCGATGGTGATCGGTGACGTCAGTGATCGGTGGTTTTGAGAGCAGATATGCGTGAAAGCGCACTTCTTCGCCGACAGAAGAGTGGTTCTCATAATTTCGTCAAAATTGGAAGTATTGTTCCTCATGGCATAATATTAGAACAGATTTTTTTTTATATGTATTTTGTCATTAGGGTGACTATTTCCATGTTAGGATGGTCTGAAAAATCGTTTTTTCTTCAAAAATGACTTAAAAAATTCATAACTTTTGAACCACTGGGCAGATTTCAAAGATCAAAATATCAAATGAAAGGGAATCAAAAATACTTTTTAGAAAATTTATTTTTATGGTTTTGTGGTTTGTATATAGAGGCTGCAATATTTTTCCTTGAAAATTTAGGCTTTTTTACACATTATATCACAAAATAAAAAAAAAAATCGTTTTTTAGTTATATATTTTTTGAAGTTATCAAGTTTCGCTCGGTTTTCTCTCAATACTCCTATGCTAGACTACCATGTTACACTCGCTGTAAATAAATGGAAACGCATGCCAATTTGTTATGCGTCCAGTGGTTCAAAAGTTATAATTTTTTGAAAAAAGTCATTTTTGAAAAAAAAAATCGATTTTTTGAACCACCCTACATGGAAATAAATAAAATAAACAAATGAGGTTCTAATATAAGGAACAAAATTACCAATTTGTATGAAATTCTGAGAACCTCTATATTGTTTTGCTATGGAGTACTTTCTATGTATTGAGTACAATTTATTGGTTTTTTGCTGAATATTTTGAGATTTGAACCGGGAAAACCGGGAATTTAAATATGAAAATTTACTGGCCACCCTGAGCTCAAGGTATCCTAAAGAGCTTCTTGAAACTTTAATACACTTTTCCTGCAATTTCAGAAGGTAGAGAATAGGCTCTAATGTTGTCCTATGGATTATTATTCTGGAATTTATGGATTTTCTGGGATTGCGATTACAAGGATCCTAGATTCTGAAATAAAAATCAAGACCTGGTGCATAAATTTTTTACACAATACAGCGACTTAGGTCAGAGCTCCTGGATTTGAAAATAAGCCAATGTTATTGGATTTGGGGAAAATACGATCTGGGACTTTTTGCGGTTCTTGGACTCAACCAAATTTGCCAGCTTCTACACGCTCGATTAGACCGACTCAAAATTAAAGTCGAGTAGACTCAATTTCGTCAAATGTGGATTTACTCAAAAGTGAGTTGAATTTTCCGGTCAAAATCCATGAAAAAAAGAGGAAAACCTTCTCGAATATGAGGAGAATCCATGAACATTTTATTTGAAATTGCGCGTTTTATCGAGGTTTTAAAGCATTCTAGAAGTCTAAACCATGGTTTTCAGAATCCTCATAAAACCCTAATTGTTACTTGGGAAATAAACTGAGTAAAATTTCAGAGTAAAATTTTTAAGTAAATACACTGATGGGGAAATTGAAAGCATTTGAAGTACGGATTTCTCTAGAACTCACTGATTCCCAGAGTCTACATGCAGGTCACAACTGTTTAGCACAATAGGGGTCATGACCACATTTAATGTTGTTTTCGAACCAATCTCGGAGTGCTAAAGTCAGCGGATATTCCGGAAGGCCAGCTTGTGAAATTCACGGTAATGCTTAATTTCTAGTACACCAAAAACCAATATATCTGAAAACAGAAAATTGATTGATGATAAAACCGGAAATTTGGTGT